TTCTTGGATAGCAGAGCCAAGAACCTCCAAAATTCCCCTCCTTCGTAAAAGTAATGAGAACTCTGGTAAAAATTAACTTTTTCACAACCTGGAGTTAACAAAGGCTTGCAACAACTCAAGGAACATTCAGTCAAGAAAAATGGCTGACTCTCCATAAGAACAGCTAGCTTTGTGGGGGTATCACTTGTCCTGTCCTTACATTGTCTCCCCCGTCCTGTGGTGGCTGTGAAAACCAACACCCTCGTAACCACTGGAGGGGACACAACAGGGTCAGGGATCGGAGCCCTCTTTGTCCCCGGACAATCAATATCTTCTGGTGGTCTGGCAGCCCCACCTCACCTGTCTCATGAGCAAAGACCTCTCCCGAAGACGCTGGTGAAAACATTAGCGGAAATGCTGTTAACACCTGCAACTGCCTGATGGGTGTGGATGTTTATGCAACGGGGTTTCATAAAATTCGTGGAAAAATGGAATTGAAATGGAATTTTTCCTGGAACTTTCTGAAGCCCCTCACATGTACAAATACAAAAGAGGAAGGTCAGAAAACAGAAAAGGAAACACAGGGAATACAAGGTTCACAAGTGATTCTGTGACATGCCCAGAAAAGACACATGAGGGCCCTAGTCTCTCACCTCCGGCTGACCTCAAGGCTGCGTGCTAGCAGAAAGTGAAGGTGCAGCCAGAGTTGTGGGGTGCTGGGTCAAGTGCTAAAGGATGGCCCCGTATGCACACAGAGTTCCTTAGAAAAGGTTGAGAAAGGTATTTCGGGAAAGCGCCATTGTAACTGAGCCGGCCACTACATGAAGTGAGCAGAAATGTGATAACAGAAAATAGACACATTACAGAATGTATCTAGGAAAACTGCCCAGCAAACAGCAGCCAGCACACACTCCGGGAAGTGGGGAGCATCTAATTTCCAGAGTCGGTGTTGTTGTTGTTGTTATGTGCTGTCGAGTTGGTTCTGACTCATAGTGACCCTGTACAGGGTTTCCAAGGTTGTAAATCTTTACGGGAGCAGAAAGCCTCATCTTTCTCCCGTGGAACGGCTGGTAGTTTCTAACTGCTGACTGAGATTAGCAGCCCGATTCGTAACCACTGTGCTACCAGAGCTCCTTGATTTCCAGAGTAGTCACATTTATTTCTAAAATGCCCAGTTTTCAACTGAAAAGAAGACACACAAAGAAAACAGGAAAAAAACAAAATAGCAAACCCACTGGCATGGGCTTTGGCTCACAGCAACCTCAGAAGACAGAGCAGAACTGCCCACATGAGGCCCAAGGCTGCAGTCTTTACACAAGCAGATGGCTTCATCTTTCTTCTATGGAGCGGCTAGTGGGTTCGAACCACTGACCTTTTGGTTAGCAGCCAATGCAAAGCCCATCACACCTCCAGGGATCCTTCAAGTGTAACTTGAAGTAGGCAGTAGGCAGGAACTCCCCCCCGATGCTGTGCTGGCTGAGGCTGGGGTGAAGGGCTCCCAGACTCCCTTCCCCTGCCCTAACTTCCTAGCTCCTTCCTGCGCCAATTGAGACCACCTGGAAGGCACCCCCTCACTGTTACAATCATAAGCTAATGGACAGGATGCTACTGAGACGTTTTCAATGTGTTGACTTTAACAGCCAGCAGTATGGAAGCACCAGTCATTGTACAGTGGTTCCGTGGTGTTACTCGCACAACAGCCCTCTCCCAGAGGGAGCCTTTCCGGTCTGACTCACCCTTTCATCAGCTGCGCAGCTGTAAAGTAAGCCGCCATGGCTTGGTCGTGCTCACTCTCAACTGCAAATGAATGGCCATACGCGATCCAGGCTGGCCCATAGGTCCTCTCAAGGGTTGTAGCTTTGCTAGCAAACAACAAAAGAAACAAATATTTTAAAGAGTTTATTCAAAAATGTATTCTTAATTTGAATTCATTTTAGGTCTCAAAGACATTACAATGATATAAAGGAGTTACCAACGTATTAAATGCTAATGTAACTTTTGTGTCAACACATCAGAACTAAGAAGCTGACTAGTACAAACTAAATTTTCATATATTTCAGGAGAAACGCCTGTCACTTTAGAAGTACTCTAGCTGAGTAGTACTCAGTAGAGCGAGCTACACTGGGAAGCGGGTTGGTAAATGGTGGTTAAGGCCAACTGCCTAACGACTTACTGAGGCCTTCTCTGTGCTGGGAAAGTACTCACTAACCACTGCATTACAGCAGATGGAGCAGATATCCTGTCCTACAGGTTCATTAGGTGAGGGGAAGAAAAGAAACTCATACCTGAGATACCTCCTGGCATGTTCGTTTTTATGACCAACCATGAGATAGTAACATCCTACTGCAAACCAAGATACCTAGAAAGTTCAAAATTTACCATGACCAAATACGCCCAAATCCTCAACTAAAAGTCTGATTCAGAATGTTCCTACAACACAATATAATTTACTGTAAGACAGAAATCTCTCTCAGAGGCCGAATGTCCACTGAGGACCCCACATGAGAAAACGACAGCTACTCCACAGCTCTTTTCAAGGGGCCGTTATATGTTATTAGCATGTGACACAGGCAAAGCACGGAAGGACTTCATGTGGAAAAAGCAGGCCAAGTCCCAGTCTTCCACCGACACTACCGGCTGATCCCTGCCCAGCCTCCCTCCTATCTCTGTCTCCGGTTTCACATTCTTGGTCAGCTGACTTCTTGTTCTGGTTACACATCCTTATCCGTTATTTTCACAGCGGTCTAGGGCACAAAAGATCAACGTGTCTGAAGACCTAGGCCCTGATCTCTCTCTTCTGTCTTTAAGGACTCATTACTGATTACATTTTCATTTTCTAATCCTCAGCTCTGACGATGGCAGTGTGGAAGGCATGATGATTCAATCAGAGAGCACTGTTTAATAAATCACTTTACACACGCCATGTTGAGAAACCTATCCGTTTGTTATGAAAAATGGGGTAAGACTTTCACTTTCATGCGTTCATATTTCTAGACATTTAATATTAAAAATAAGCATGTACAATGTCTATCATCAGAAAATAATAAAGACTCTAAGTTATTGCTTCAGAATACTAAAAACACTTTCATGAACTGAATGAATAGGTCAATGAGGCTTTCTAAACCCTTAGGCGCTAAGAGAATCTGCTTCAACACTTTAAAATATCACTGCTTGAACTTAAATATTATCTACTGTCAACTACTAATTAAACGTTTTCTTCAATTCAGGTAAAACAAAAACAAGAATAAAAAGAGTAATATATATTACTTACAGGATTACTAGGATATAAATCCACCAGTTTATGAGAAAGATAGAAAAGTTCTACATTTTGGGGGGGAAAAAAAAAGAAAATTACTCATGTCAAATGCACTTTAAGATATTACTTTTCCTCAGTTACAGCTCCTCACATTATAGCAAATTCTATTTTTACAGCAGTGATTTCATACTTCCTTCGAGATGTAATACTCATTTAATGACCGGCATAGGAATCCCACTGGGCAGATGGCTCCCACGGCTGTTTAGTTTCAAACCCTCTCTAACACCATTATCATTTGCTGGGCGCTACGTGGGCACTAAGCCCTTGTTGAGGGACTGAAAAACTGAAAATAGCGCTTGCAACGTGAGAACAGATACCACTTAACAGAGGACCTAACGGTCCTCACTGACCTTAGAAACCTAAAGACCTGTCGGGGACCATTTTAACCACACACAATCAATTTGGTTGACTGAATGTACAGGTTTATCAAAGAAACAGAATTACTTTCTCTTGAGAAATGTGTGGTGGTGGTTATATTGCCACGGTGCCAATCCACCTCATTGGGGGTCTTCCTCTGTTTGGCTGACCGTCAATACAAGCCCCTACGTTTAGAATCATTCTTTTAAAGCTTTAGAGTCACCTAAAGGTGTTAGGATCAAAGGCAGATACAAAGTCAGCGGGTGGGGAGTAGTGGCGAGTCTTCATCTCCACCAGGCCTTCAGGAGATGCCTGCCGGCCCGCAGACCACACTCTGAACAGAGGAGATGGGAGTTTAATTGGAAGAGACTCTCAAATTCAGTGAAAAAAGACTAAAGGGTGAATACAGCCCCAAAACAACAAAATGTTTCTGAAATATTCAAAAACAGAAAAAAAAAAGCAAAAAGTCTGCTCCCTTCCTATTTCTAAACCCTTAGGGACTCCTGTCATACCTTTCTTCTTACAGAATTTACACAACCAAAAAGGTACAAGGGAAAGGTGACATCCAACACTCTACTTCAAAGCTAACATACCTGGAACCATAATTATTTTTGGGAAAAGGAAGCAGGAAACAAAGAGAAAGCCACAGAGCCTTCCGATGGAATAACAAAATAGCCAGATGGTCAGTTGGCTGAGTACCTCATCTCCCACTTGATATTTTAATTTTGGAAGTCTATTATGCAATCTCAGTTATCCAGGATTCTGAGCCAAAATCTCAGGAGTTAGCGCAATTTCATGTCTAAAACGTGTTAGTTTAATTTACAGACAGACTCTTACCATTTGCTTTACTCAGTTCCACAAGCGTCCCTATGTGGACAGGCAAACAACTTGCATGGAAAGGGTCTCTGTCCATCACTCTGAAAGTTAGAGCAACACGTGACATTACCCCACTCGTGAAAATCATTCCCACATCATGTACAGGGCTATAGGTTCATCGTGTACAGGAAGACAGGTTAACTTTTTATGCTAATTTCTTAACTGAAATGATCTTCAGGTGAGTTCCACTAAGGCAAGGATTAGTCTACAAATGAAAGGGAATAAGGAATGACACAGTCTATTATCTGTGTTGTTGTTAGGTGCTGTCAAGTTGGTTCTGACTCATACGAACCCCGTAGAGGGTTCTGAGGCTTTAAATCTCTGTGGAGTTTCAGAAACCCTCATCTGCCTTCCATGGAGTGGCTGGCAGGCTTCAACCGCAGACCTTGCGATTCGTAGTCCAGTGCGTATCACATGAGCTACTGCGTTCCCCATCATTACAAATGTCTACTTTATAATAAAATAAATAGTCCAAGTATTTTAAATAATCAAAAGCATTGTTGTTGTTCAGTGCCGTCAAGTCAGTTCCGACCCCCAGTAACCCTGTATAGGGTTTCCTAGGAGTGGGATATTAAGTTTGAACTGCCAACCTAGTGTTATGAAATATTAAATAGGTCACAAGTTTTTGAGAATTACAACATCTGTTATTTCAAGGATTTTAAGCAGACTCAAAGCTTCACAAACATAGTATGTCTAATTCTGCTAAAGGACCAGTTTGAATATATGCACTGTTATGTGTACATCATTTAGCTAGGAAGGGAGTCAGACGGAGTGTCTAGGATCTACTGGATTTTATTAGCCTCTGTTTTAATAAGGAGTCCTGGAGTGGCATTGTAAGATAAAGCACTGGACTGCAAGGTTGGTTTTAACTGCAAGGCTGGCAGCTCCTCGGAAACCCTATACAGGGTCACTATGAGTTGGCAGCAACTCGATGGCACTTAACAACTCCTACTATTCTAATATATTTATGAATCTGTATGATAAAATGGCATTTTCAAATGTTCAAATCAAAGACTGGGGAGAAAGACTTGTAAATCCTTCCCAAGTTACTATGGTAACGTACAAATATGCAAAAACCTATGTCTGAAATTTTCTTTTAAGAAAGCACACTGGGTTACCATGATGATCAATTTGTAGGAGATTACTCAAGAGATTCATATACCAGAGTATATTTCTTAGGTACAATGAACTAAATCCTTTTTGTTCCTACACAAAAATGTAAATACTTACACAGAAGTAAGTTTGTAGCACATTTTAAAATCACAGTTATAATAATGTCTTTCAGCTAAAGACACTACCACGTCCAGGTTCTCCTGTAAGCCATCTACAGATTCAGGAAGGATGGTCTCACTAGGTTTATTGTACTGAAACAAAGAGAAAGTGAAACATAAATTAACTAAACAACAACAGGTGCAAAGACAGACTGAATTTGTGCTTGGTTCAAGTGTTAACAAGGACACACACACGGTACGTCTGAGCTGCTGAAAACTCTTTAACGTCACGTTTTGTCAGTACTTTCAATATGTTTAATTTTCTTCCCAATTTTACCACAGGATTTCCAAGATAGCATTTTACAAAGTCAAATTTCAGGCAGTGTAAGAAAAGAAGAAATCCTCACTTTGTAACATCATTCCATTTATTTATTTATTCTTTGAGTATAAGGAATCTTTGGGAGCAAACATATTTGGAAGTTCTTTTAAGAATCACACTACATATTTTATATAATTTAACAGTATTCTTAAAAAGGTGCTAATAAAAGCTTTTTTTTTTTAAGTAAGCCTTCTTATGATACCATTACTAAATCCTACTTCTAAGAATGAAATGATTTCAGATTAGCAATAGGAGAATGCCTTACTTGATGAGTAAAAGTAAGAGAGGTCAAATGTAACGAGAGGAATGAAATAAATACAGCACCATTAGCTTGTTTTTACCTTTTTTAGTTTGTTCTCAAAAAGAAAGCGTAGCAATGCCTGTTCTTCAGCACACAGCTTGCTAAGAGGCAGCGATTCAAGAAGTTCTTTTTCTTAAAAATGTTGATGGGGAGAAATAAAAAAAAAAACATCCTCACAATATATATGGGAGAAAAAAAACGTTAGCAGTTGAAAATAGTCTATAGTTCTTAGTCTCATCAAAAAGCTTCCAGGACAAGCAAGAACCAATAGTTTCTTAGTCTCAGCACTGGTGACATTTTGGGCCAGATAACTCTTTGTTTTGAGGGATGCTGTCTGTGAAGAGGATGCTTAGTAGCGGCTCAGGTCTCTACCCACTAGATGTCATTACCAACCTAACACTTCCCGTCTCATGAGTTGTGACACCCAAAAATACCTCCCTTGTCACCGACAAGTGTCCCCTGGGGTAGAAATCACATAGGACTGAGGATTACTGTACTGGGTAATAAAATGGGTTCTTCTCACGGCAGCGATACAACACAACCACACTGTCTGTGAGTGTCCCATTCGTCCACTTTAAGTCACTGCAAACTCAGTGCCTCTCAACACCATGCACCAGGGTTACCTAGGGAGCATCAAGTCAGATTGAGTCCAGCGTCCAGGGCCACCTTCAAACTCTGGTTCATCTGTTTGTAAAACTCCTCAAGGAGTCTAATTCAGTCAGGCTGATGCTGAAATCTTAAGTGAAACTCCCTCAAATCACTTCTCACAAAGGGGGTCTGATCACTCTGCAGTCCCCGTGGGCTTTGGTAGCAAGGGGCACTGGACAACATTGTGATTTGCAATGTGCTTCACATGTGAAGACAAGTTACCAGGTCTATTTGAAGCTGCCCTAAGCCCACTGATTCCAGAGATAAAAACCACCCAAGCAGTACTAATTGTGCTAAAACATAAAACCCTTTCTTTCCCAACCTTCTTGTGCTGTTAACATATGATGTGACGTTAAAAGGTCGAAGGCTTCAAAGCAGAACACGTCAAGCTTCAGGGCCTCCTTGTAGCTGTAGGTTGCCAGGGCTCGGTTGTCCAGCGCGTCGTAGATTTTCCCTCTTAGGAGACAAATAGAACTCTTGATCTGCTGGGAAAACAGACACGGAGTCCAAACTTTCAAATTTAATTTCTGATGAAAAATGATAAATTATTGAAATAAAAATTTCCCATCAAACAAGATTTGGTTTCTGTCAACTGTCAACGGACAGCTAAGCCCCCAAGTTAGACTTACAGACACTTACACTTGCCTTTTAACGTAAATTTGTCCGCACTTGAAACAACTGAACCCATCCTTGACCTCAAGTCTATTTGGACTCCTGGTGACCCTAGAGTCAAACTGCCCCACAGGGTTCCCCAGGCCTTTCTCCCAGAGAACAGCTGATGGGTTTGAACCACTGACCTTCTGGTTACCAGCCCAGTGTTCAAGCAGACGCCAACCCACACTCAACCACCAATTCCCCATCATACTCATCTTTACTTGGTGCACACGTAGCTTTTTAAATCATTGAAGAGGCTTCCATTCTTTTTTTTTTTTATGTTTTATTGTAAATTATATGATAGTTTACATGAGTGAACTTTAGTTATACATTCATTCCATCGTACATCATCTCATTGCAATGGTTCCAATCCCCTCCATGCATCATCAACCAACCAAAGGGTATATCCTAGAAGCCCGCCCCCTACACTTCCTCCTTCCCCCCTCCCCTCCACCCTGTTTTCGGCCCACAGTCCCTTTCCCTCTCTGAATCCAAAGTCCCCAGCCACTTCATTACTCCACATCATCATCTCTGAATCCATCTCAGGCATCTATTTCTCTGGGTAGGGTCCCGCTCTCGGCTCTTCTCCGTTGATGGTCCCAG